GTTATTTGGCTCTGTTCTGGCGGAAGCCCTGCACCTCATGTTCGAGGATACAAAGTGGACTTCTAGGTTAATCTAGCAATTGAAATGTCTCATAAACAAAAATTAACACCGTGTCTACTTCATCGAATGTCTGCGTACGGTCATGGACACACCAAAATTACAAAAAACACAAACTTGCCTTTATTGATCTTGTAATTCCTCCTTTCAACTCGAAACAACTGGCACTACAAACTTGACGTACACCCCGAACTAGTCTCTAAAACGAACTGACGCAATCGACGCCAGGCTTGCCACTGTCGTGCTCCAAAGTTGAAAATTTTTCCAAATGGTCGTGACGCCATATCGAGGGAAAGACTTATTTTGTCATGGTAGTCAGTTTGCAATGACAATAAAATTTTAATATAGGCTAGGTACTTTTTTTTTGTAAGTTTAATAACTATTGATGACATAAAAATAAGGCTTTATATATTTCGGCATGAATAATTAGTCTCAAAAGTTAAAGTTGGAAAATGTACCCTAGGGACACGTCATGGTCGTGAATTTCGAGACTTTAAAAATACGAAAAAAATACCTAGAACCTATTTAAAACCAAATACACTAAATGTGTGTAACATGTTGCCCTCATCCCAAAAAATATTAAAACACATAATAATAAACTACAAATCCAGTATGTACGAAGTAAGAGGCCAGGGACATGAAAACGTAAGTTTTTAAATTTTCACTCATGTACTTTTTTGTTTTGATGTCCCCAGATACCAAAAACATCAGCTGTTCAAATTATATTGTTGAATACGTTACAAAACATTAGCACCCTTTTAATTTATTTTAACTAGAGGTATCCTTGTAGTAAAAAACTCGATCAAATTTTTTTTACCACACTACGATGTTTTTAGCCGTTTTACAAACGTTTATTGGAGGCAGAAAGCTACATATTGCTGCCTATGCCAACTGTCATCGTCATTTGGGGACCGAGCAGGTTTTTATATCCCTAGGGCGTTAAAATCAGACATTCGCTTACTTTCTTAAATATTTATGCATACTTTTAGCTGTTACCCACGAGCTTCACCTCGTTTGACTTCAGTTTGACTTAGTATAAATAAAACTATTGATTGGTTAAGTTAAGCTGAAATAAACAAACCAGAATACAGTAATACAAACAAATAAGCTGAGGTATTTTTAACATTAGGTATATGTATGTAGTGATGTAAAATTCCCGGGAATATAAAATCGAGGAAATATTCCCTGGGAGCAATTTATGAACTAATTAGCAAGATAGATTTAAAAGCTGTTACTTACGGTAATAGGTAAAAGCCATTAAAAAGCCGTTACGGTTAAATCAACCACAAAACATTATAGTAGAAAATTGTAATTGAAATAAATAACTGGGAATTTAAGCTAAATTACTTAAAATAATAGGTCACTGTGGTAGTTGTGTGACAAAAATATTCTTATGTAAAAAAAAATATTGTAATTTATATAATCACAAATCAGAAAAATATCCTTTTAAATACCCGGGAAATAAAAAATGTTTTTTGAAAAAAAATTTCATACTGTATCAAAATAAAACTACATATTAAAAATAAAAAGATTTGATGATATTTGAATAGGCCTACTTAGGCTATATGATATCTTTGCTTTTCGTATTATTATATATTCCGTATTCCGCCTGATAATTTTATTCTCATCGTCCATCCCTTCCAAAGAAACTTTCTTCAGATTAAAGCCTTCTTTTTCTCCATAGTCAGCTAGACTTTCTCTTACTTTTAAGATGTCCTAAATTCAAATAAAACCTAGGGCCTCAAGTAGCTTGATAGGGTCAAGAAAACTGCCAGCATCAACGCTGTGAGATGGATCAGTCCAATGGCAATTATTACCTCTCGATGCAGTGATGCAGTTTTCAAGGGTTTAAGGGGAGGGGAAAATTCCCCCTTTTACCTAGTAAGAACTCAATTTCCCCATTTCAGCTCATTTCAAATAAATTACTCATAAGAGCTAAACTGTGGTTATGATCAATTTTTACTTTCACACTTTCGTTAGAGCACTCTTACATTCTATTGTAGCTAAAATATAGCTCAATGTTTACTGATCTGGACTTCACCTCCTCATTAGAAATTTGAAAATTCTTTGGTTTCCAATGTTTTAAATTCAATAACTAATTTAAGTTTACTATTATATTTAGCTTTAATTTAGTAGGCCTACAGGTAAAATGGGGGTTTATAAACAACAAAATTTGTACATTCATGAAATTTCATCTGTGAGTTACTGAGTGAAAATTTAAAAACGTACGTTTTCAGGGAAAGTACTTTGCAAATTTTTTTCCCCTTTTTTCAAAACTTTTATTATTTTTTTATTTCATTAACATTTGAAGTTTCATAAAATGTCCATGGTAACGCAATATCTTTGGTAGTTTCTTTTTTTTTTAAGAGCATCTTTAGTGGAAAAACACAAAATCCTGTCACGACCATAACAGACGTTTAAATGAATATTAAAAATAGTTAATATTATTTTTATAACTATGTTTTGCTATAAACTAATTTACTTTTATGACCATTATACAATAAAAAGGTCACTGAGCTTTTGGTATATTTGGTCTTTCTAGAAAAAAATAAAAAACTCAAAAAATTGAAAAAAGCCAATAAAATCTTATTAAGTTTGTATAACTCCGAAAAAACTTACCTGAGACCCGAAAAATCGTTATGTTTGTATAGAGGTGTGCTTCTTTTGTGTATAAAACATTGAAATATGACGATATTTTAATTTTTGAAATTTTTATGATAGAAATCGTAAACGTGATGGTCAGGGACAAGCGGTACTGTCGTGAATTTTCTGAAATAATCTAAATCTTTCTAAACAATCCTTTAATTATACTGTTAGTTATAATAAAAATATGTGTTTCAATTCAAACTAAACTGTTCAATTTACAATTATATTAAAGTTATTGTCACGACCAAACACACTATAATCCATAAGGCTGGATTGGTCGTGAAGAAACCCGCGATGGTCGTGAAACTTTGGTCACGAAATTACGTGTTATTTGGCTCTGTTCTGGCGGTAGCCCTGCACCTCATGTTCGAGGATACAAAGTGGACTTCTAGGTTAATCTAGCAATTGAAATATCTTATAAACAAAAATTAACACCATGTCTACTTCATCGAATGACTACGTACGGTCATGGACACACCAAAATTACAAAAAACACAATCTTTCCTTTATTAATCTTGTAATTCCTCCTTTCAACTCGAAACAACCGGCACTACAAACTTGACGGACACCCCGAACTACTCTCTAAAACGAACTGACGCAATCGACGGCAGGCTTGCCACTGTCGTGCTCCAAAGTTGAAAATTTTTCCCAAATGGTCGTGACGCCAAATAGAGGGACAGACTTATTTTGTCATGGTAGTCAGTTTGCAATGACAATAAAATTATAATATGCTCCTTTTTTGTAAGTTTAATAACCATTGATGACATAAAAAAATGGCTTTATATATTTCGGTATGAATAATTAGTCTAAAAACAGCGTGAAATTTGGAAAATGTACCCTAGGGACACTTCATGGTCGTGAATTTTGAGACTTTAAAAATACTAAAAAAATACCTAGAACCTATTTAAAACCAAATAAATTTGTGTAACATGTTGCCCCCGTCCCAAAAAATATTAAAACACATAATAATAAACTACAAATCCAGTATCTACGAAGTAAAAGGCCAGGGACATGAAAACGTTCCTTTTTAAATTTTCACTCTACTAATAATATGAGAAATGAAGATCCGACAAGTCCCCAAAATTTTGGGCTTCCTAAGGCCCTTTTTGGCCCTTTTTGTCCTGATGGGGTAGTTCCTGAATAATTTTGTTTTTACGTATAAGGTCGAGTGAGGTGTCGTTTTCGATGGTTTTCATTATTTTAAAACGATTGGGACTAGTTTTAAGTGTATTAAACCACTCCATAAAGGGTGTTCACAAATAGTATTACTTTTTACGATATTTAAACACTATTTCATAAAGTAATAACATTATACCCTTACGCTCTACCGGTATATAAAAGAGGATTATTGAGAACAACTGTAGCCTAATTCTTTACTACATACTATGTAGCCTACATAGTACTACTATGTACTATGTATATATAGGCTATTGTTTTTTTATATCTTAAACGGGTTTACACGTTGTGGACTTATTTTTTCTTTTGTGCGTGTAAAAGAAATGTTTTTATTTTTTGTCGAGATGCAATCTAATCCCTTTTTTGAGTAAAAGATGAAGAAGGAGTAAGTTAGTAAGTAACACTTAGTGATACTTAGTGTGAACACAGTTGCTTGTGCTTGTGCGCATATTATTCAAAGATGTCGGAGGATTTGGTTCAAGCTAGGGCTGCACTTTACTTGACGTCCTACACTCATTCGATTGTTTTTTTCGATTCGATATTTTCATTCGATTGTTTCATTCAATATATCGTTTGGTTAGTTAGGTTAGGTTAACCTTACCTAACTAACCAAACGATATATCGAATGAAGCAATCGATTAATCGATATATCGATCGATATTTTCATTCAAATGAGTGTAGGACGTCAAGTAAAGTGCAGCCCAAGCTAGCTAGGCTACTGATCGAAAAAGCATCGTGTGAATGACTACAAGTGCACTCGCCGGCGTCTTTCTACACGTTTGCGAGTGGACAATCTCCGTGTGAACGAATACAAGCACACTCGCCAACTTCTTACATGCTGGCGAGTAGCTTGTAAACTCGCCCCGTGTGAAAGAGGCTTAAAGGCCCATACTGAAAAAATCACAAAGAAACTGAGTGATACCTGATTTCCAATCTTTTGCTTAAATTTAAGATGCAACTGGTAAAAGTACAGTATTAAGTAGGCCTAGGCCAATAATGAAATAGAAAACTGGTAAATAAGTTTTAAGTGTAATTAATTATTAATCTATTTGTGTTTATTATTTTAATTCTAAAGTAATTAAAAAGCTATAGGCCTAAGTTGCTTAAATTAACTTACTCACATTTGTTAAGTCCTTTGGTGTCAAAAAAGTCAATTCATGTGACCTAGAAATTATTTTTTAATTAGGTGACTGTAGCATAAAGAAAAAAGAAAGCTGATACTAGGATGCCTGGAAAATATACAAACAAGGAGCCCTTTCGATATTTTAATTGAGTTATAACTAACCTATTTAAGAGGTTAAACCCCTTGACATACTACACAGCACACAGCACTGGTCACATACATACAAAAACAACACACAACAACAACAACTCGCGACGGAGAGGAAAGGAAAACAACGAGTGCAAACGCAGGCAGACGGCAGCAGCAGACGCTGCACTAATAGAGAAACCCTTCCAGACAGACCGCCACCACCCACCACCGCTCGAGCGAACACCATTACCGCAACGATACGTTGTACAGCCATCGGTCTCGGTGGTGTGGTTAGCGCACCGGGCTGATAATACCATAGATTAAACATACTTTATATTTAATCTATGATAATACGAAGGTAGCCGGGTCGAGATCCACTAGAGGCATGGGAACAAGTCACGTCAACCCGCCACCACGTCAACCCGCCATCAAAAAGAAGAAGAAGTTTGAGGTGGTGGGTTGAAGTGGTGGCTCGTAGTCGGGGTGGCACGTTGACTCTAGCGTGCACGACAACCCGCCACCTTGTAAAAATGTGTGGTGGCAGGTTGTCGTGGTGGCACGTTAGACGTGTTCATACCACGACAACCCGCCACCTAATAAAATAATGATGGCGGGTTGACGTGGTGGCACGTTGTCGCTTACATGCGAGGTGGCGGGTTGACGAGAGTTAACATGGGGCGTACACTACAACCCGCCATCTTTGTTGACAAAAGCCGCTGTTGTCTGTGTATTATAAAATGCATCACTTTTTGCAGTGTTTGGACATGTGTTATCGAGTTTACTTTTAAGTTAACTAGACATTAGTTATTGTTAATTCATTAATTTTCGAATCGTTTTCCTATAAAGATCTGCCATAGAAATAAAGTACACGCATCCACGCAAGACAATGTTTCCTTTTAATTAACAGTTATTGTTTAAAAAAGTTGTAAGACAAACTCTCTACAAATGAACGATTAAGGGTCATTCTAGAATTAAAATAACAATATTTGTCATGTTTTCGCATATTTTTATTAAAGACAAAAACATAAAACTTTAATAATTTTGAAAAATTAGTTATTGTTTCTTAGGATTTTCTGTAGGTGTATACCTGGTATAATACCCATGTTTATTTTATTTTTCAGCATTATGACAATGAATTACAAAATAAGTTACCTAAAAACTTCATTAATTAATTGTAATTCACGTGTGTATGGCCTAAACAAAAATTATGAAAATGTATTGCTCGGTTATAACATCCAAACCATTTGGCCATCAACCTCCTAGACAACAGTCAGGTCTACAGATAAAAAAAAAAGGAAATGTTTTAGACTTTCCGATTCGATTTGTACATATAGCAGCTCTGAAATTTATTTTCTTTGCTTTTTAGCGAATTTCTCTATAGGGAAGTAGCTATTACCGTAGGTGGCACGGTAAGACCTAGGCCCGTGACCGATTTACTTATTCATTTTGATGTCCCCAGAGGCCAAAAACACTATTCGTTCAAATTTTTATATATGTATATATATATATTTTTTTTTATATACGTCCGTGAACGCGATAACTTGAGTAATTTTTGTCCGATTTTGATCAAATTTGGTTTAAAGGTGTAAGGCGGGATAAACTTTGAATGAGTTTGCGAACCAGCATGATCGGACCATGGGAACGGGGTAAATTACGCGGGGTTTTATTGAGTCAATAATGGTTTTTCTCATTTTTGACCCTCAAAACACAAAATTTCCTAATTTATCTCTAGACCTTTTAAAAGAGCTTAAAAAAACATATAATTTAGTATATCAAAGTGTTTTTTACGGTTATTGGTAACGTAGAAAATTAAAAAAAATAATAAATTTAGAATTCCCATGCTATTCTTATGGAGAATATTATAAAATGTTGTAGTTTGCTTGTTTATTGACATATTTTGATAAATATTGGCAAATATATTTATTTTATACTAAGCTATTAATATTTTACAAAAAAACACACTTTATTAGTTTCCTTGTAGCAGCAAACCTAGGCACTCGTTAAACCTAATGCTATTTTAATAGATTTGAAAATCAATTCAGACAAATGGTTATTCGCTTAGTCGGCTAGTTTGCTGCAGCGGGGGTATTTTTGTTAGTGCTAAAGCTCTTGGGCTGCTAACTCATGTTTTCAAATTTGTATTTTATTTATATAAATGTCATCATACTGTATTTACTTATTGTTTAATGTAAAACAGATTGTAAATAAAACTTTGTTAAAAAAAAACAAAAAAAAAATACAATGAACATATTTTTTAAGTTGCATTTTGTTCTTACCAAAATATTAACATAAAAAACGTTTTTACCCTCCCTGTTGCAGCATACCTTAGTACTCGTTAAACTAATTCTATTAAATAGGGAATAAATGTGATATTTTAAAGGAGAAATTATAGTGTAAATCCAAACAGGCAAATGGAAATTCGCTTAGTCTGCAGGTCTGCTGTAGCGGGGATATTTACTTTATGTAGTTTCTTATTGTTTCGGTTTCATATGATGATGATGCTTTCTTCTGCTGCAGCTGCTTGCTCCTTGCGACTTGCTTGCTGGCTGAATGCTCTGCTGCCCTGCTGAGTAGGGTAGTTTTTGTTTTTAGTTTAGTGTAGGGAAAGGGTAGGGTTATGTATGACGAAATGTGCTGCTATCGATGTGATGTCAATGTCTAATGTGTCGGTTCTTTTGTTAAAACGTTGCCGACCGTAATATAAATGATCGGCGTGAAACTGGCAATAGATTAGCAATAACTCACTCCACTTCTCCTACTTCCCCTCCGACGAATATACGTCACAGTAAAACGTCATAACAATGATGGCGTCACAGCAGCATTCGTCATAGAGCCAACGACATAACCTCCAAAATATCAAGTGGCGGGAACTTTTTTTTGGCGGCACACGGCCAAGATGGCGTTCGGTTGTTCCCGCCAACCGTTGAGTATAGCAAGTGTCTTTAATATATGTAAACAACTGCATTAATGAATTAATGTTAAGGAGTTGTAAACAAAGTAAACGCCTAAAGCCTATCCTAGCACCATAGACTAACAATCACAAGAAGACTTCTCATCCCATTGAAAATTTTGAAGCTCGTTTTTCGTATCTAGTTCATGTACGTGACACATGGGCGCTAGTGTCCACGAAACTTTGTTTCTATTATTTTAGGGTTAATTTCTTGATTTGTGCTTTACTGTTTAGTTATATAACTTGGGTACAGGTTATTGTTTATGATTAGATCGTATTATTTAGTTAAACGAGGCTTTAAATGGCTGTAATAACGGGAAACAAATTGTAAACAAAACAGGACCTCAAGAAAATAAGAAATTGCCATAAATTTCTATTGCTGGCCTATTCCGTTGGTACGATTTTCTGTTTTTCATTTGAAATATGTTTATTACATTGTTATGAACTGGAAAAAACTTCGTTTATGTTCTAATAATTATTTATAGTTGAGATAGGTGACTTTGAATTAAACTGGTGTGACCTCGGTTCCATAAGAACCCAACTTACTAAAAATCTTGTTTTTTCGTTTTTACATGTTTGTTACTTCTTAATAAACAATATCTAACGCCTTTTCGAAAAAAATTATCAGTTATTATCAATTAAATGCATTATTTAAATTTTGCTCAAGAAAATATTAAATTACGATAAATTTCTATTGCTGGCCTATTCCGTTGGTACGATTGTCTGTTTTTCTTTTGAAATATGTTTATTACATTGTTATGAACTGGAAAACACATATTTTATGTTCTAATAACTATTTATAGTTGAGATATGTCACCTTGAATGGCATTGGTGTGACCTCGGTTTCATAACAACCCAACTAACAAAAAATCGATTTTTTTCGTTTGTACATGTTAGTTGCTTCTTAATAAACAATATCTAACGCCTTTTCGATAAAAATTATCAGTAATTATCAATTAAATGCATTATTAAAATTTTGCCTCAAGAAAATATTAAATTACCATAAATTTCTATTGCTGGTCTATCCCGTTAGTACGATTTTCTGTTTTTCTTTTGAAATATGTTTATTACAATGTTATGAACTGGAAAACACGTCGTTTATGTTCTAATAACTATTTATAGTTGAGATAGGTGACTTTGAATTAAACTGGTGTGACCTCGGTTCCATAAGAACCCAACTTACTAAAAATCTTGTTTTTTCGTTTTTACATGTTTGTTACTTCTTAATAAACAATATCTAACGCCTTTTCGAAAAAAATTATCAGTTATTATCAATTAAATGCATTATTTAAATTTTGCTCAAGAAAATATTAAATTACCATAAATTTCTATTGCTGGCCTATCCCGTTGGTACGATTTACTGTTTTTCTTTTGAAATATGTTTATTACATTGTTGTGGACTGGAAAACACGTCGTTTATGTTCTAATAACTATTTATAGTTGAGATATATGACTTTGATTTTAACTGGTGTGACCTCGGTTCCATAAGAACCCAACTTACTAAAAATCTTTTTTTTTCGTTTTTACATGTTAGTTGCTTCTTAATAAACAATATCTAACGCCTTTTCGATAAAAATTATCAGTAATTATCAATTAAATGCATTATTAAAATTTTGCCTCAAGAAAATATTAAATTATCATAAATTTCTATTGCTGGCCTATCCCGTTGGTACGATTTTCTGTTTTTCGTTTGAAATATGTTTATTACAATGTTATGAACTGGAAAACACGTCGTTTATGTTCTAATAACGATTTATAGTTGAGATATATGACTTTGATTTTAACTGGTGTGACCTCAGTTCCATAAGAACCCAACTTACTAAATATCTTTTTTTTCGTTTTTACATGTTAGTTGCTTCTTAATAAAAAATATCTAATGCCTTTTCGATAAAAATTATCAGTAATTATCAATTAAATGCATTATTAAAATTTTGCCTCAAGAAAATATTAAATTACCATAAATTTCTATTGCTGGCCTATCCCGTTGGTACGATTTTCTGTTTTTCTTTTGAAATATGTTTATTACATTGTTATGAACTGGAAAACACATAT